CTGAGGCGAGATCACCTGCCATGGAGTTTGGATTATTGCTTGATTTGGTTAGTGCCAGGGCGGGATGGCGCCAGGCTGACCTGGGTCATCTTCCAGCCTGAGAAGCAGGAATTTTTTAGAAATACTTCCATCTCTTAAAAAAAAAAAAAAAATAGCTGGGCATGGTGGCCTGAGCCTGTAGTCCCAGCTACTCCGGAAGCTGAGGTGGGAGGATCACTTGAGCTTAAGAGGCTGAGGCTGCAGTGAGCCACTGTCGTCACAGTCATGCCACTGTACTCTCACTGGGCAACAGAGCAAGTCCTGTCTCAAAAAAAAAAAAGGAAGAAAAAGAAAAGACCAGGGATTCCTCTGAGAGAGATGGTGTAAGTTACAGATGTATGTGATCACCTTTAGAGCAGCAACTGCAAGGAAAATACCGAAAAGCACAGCTAAAAACCCAACAGAGGAGACAGTATGGAATAGTGTAAAATATTTCATACAAATAAGACACAGGAAGAGCAGAGGAGACAAATCGAAAACAGCAGCCAGGTGTGGTGGCACCTGCTTGTAGTCCCAGCTACTCAGAAGGCTGAGGCAGGAGGATTGTTTGATCTCCAGAGGTCAAGGCTGCCGTGAGCCAAGATGGTGCCGTTGCACTCCAGCCTGGGCGACAGAGCAAGCCCTGTCTCGAAAAGAAAAAGAAAAGAAAACTAGAGTAGACCTACTCCAACATTAAATGTAAATAGATTTAGTGCTTCAATTAAAAGGCAGAGATTGACTTGAATAAAAAGGAAGACCCAGCTATATTCTGTCTGCAAGAGATGCACCTTAAATGTAAAGACATACACCAGCTGAAAGTAAAAGTCGCCGGGTGCGGTGGCTCACGCCTATAATCCCAGCACTTTGGGCAGCTGAGGTGGATGGATCATGAGGTCAGGAGATCGAGACCATCCGGGCTAACACAGTGAAAACCCATCTCTACTAAAAATACAAAATATTAGCAGGGCATGCTGGTGGCAGGCGCCTGTAGTCCCTGCCACTTGAGAGACTGAGGCAGGAGAATCGCTTACACCTGAGAGACAGAGGTTGCAGTGAGCAGAGGTCGCGCCACTGTACTCCAGCCTGGGCGACAACAGCAAGACCCCATCTCAAAAGTATGGGAAGACATAGATCCTGCGCACACCAAGCTTCAGGAAACCAACGTGATTCTATTACTATCCAAGTGGACTTCAGGACAAGGTGTATCTCTAGGGGCCAAGATGGCTCTTTGTTAGTGGTAAAGGGGCCAACGCACCGAGGAGACATAACTGGGCATCCCTGGGCAGATTACTCAGCCTCAGTTTTCCCATCTGCAAAATGACAATGGTTAGAATACCTGTCTAGTTAGGGGTATGTGAGGATCAAGTGACTGAACCCGTGTCAGGTGTTTAGAACTAGGCTTGGCACATAACTAGGGCTCCATGGGGATCAGCTCTGAGTACTACCGCAGCTGGGACAGAGCCTCACGCTCTTGCCGTGACCCTGGCCCAGCTTCTTCTAAGGTGCGGCTCTTGGGGCTGCGGCAAGATAAGGTGGTAAACACAGGCCGCTAGCTGGTTCCTCCAGTTCTTTTTCCTGGTGGTGGTGGTAGCGGTGGTGGTGGTACAGGGTGTGTGGTGTGTGTGGGTGTGTGTGTGTGTGTGTGTGTGTGTGTGAGACCTGGGGCAGAGGACTGGAATGAGACAGCACACATCTGATGACCTCACTGGCTGCTAGACTCGAGGGCTGAGGTCAAGGAGACTGGGGTCAGGAAGGGAGCGGCGACTAGGTGGAGTTTGGATGACTGCTTGATTTAGTTAGTGCCAGCGCGAGAAGGCTTCAGGCTGACCTGGGTCGTCTTCCAGCCTGAGAAGCAGGAAGTGACCGCACCCCCCACCCTCCACCCCTGCCACAGGAAGGCAGCCAGTACCTGAGACCTGCCAAATTCACATGGCAGAAGCCACAGCCTTCTTTGAGCCTTTCACCCTGGCCACAGGCACAGAGGGAAACCCAGTGGCCTTGCCTGCTTGCTCCTGGGACCCCCACACCCCTGTTCCCAGGTCGTGATGGCAAGACTAGCTTCACTTCCAAACGAGCTAGGGGCACATGAGAGTTCCTGGAAGACCCGCTGAGGCTGCAGAAACCTTTGGTGGGGAGGCCTGTGCAAGGATGAGGTGGCAGCCAGGGCCAGGGGAAGGCAGGTTTCTGGAATCACGGATGGCTGTTTCGTCCAGGCTTGCAAGCTCTTCCACGTGCAGCCCTTGCTCCTCTCCCCTGCTCTCCCTGCCTGTGGTTCCCCACTTCCCTTCTGCAGTGGCTGCCTGACTCCCCCTGCTGAAGATTGTCTGAGCATCCACCATGCCCCCCTGACTCCGACTGTGGGTGGTGGGTTGGGGCCCACCGGCATCACAGATGAGGGCACTGAGGGTCCCTGAGAAGTAAAAGTGCATGTCTAGGATCTCATAGCTGGTAAAAGGCACAGCCAGGCTTTAATGGTGCTCCTCTGACTCCAGGCTCATTGTTCTTTGCTGGATTTGGTCCAGATTAACCTGGCACTGGCTTGTCAGAAATCTTCAAGGGCTTCCCGGTATCTGGAGCTGAAACCTGCAAACTTTTCTGACCTTGTATCCCTGAGTGAACATTGCTGCACACACTCTCCATTACGTGTTTATTATATATTTAAATTATTTCTTAAGTATTGGCATGTGTTAATGTACTCTTATAGTCCGTGCATTAGAACACAGTCAAGTGCTGGGCGCGGTGGCTCAAGCCTGTAATCCCAGCACTGTGGGAGGCCGAGGCGGGTGGATCACGAGGTCAAGAGATCGAGACCATCCTGGTCAACATGGTGAAACCCCGTCTCTACTAAAAATACAAAACATTAGCTGGGCATGGTGGCGTGTGCCTGTAATCCCAGCGACTCAGGAGGCTGGGGCAGGAGAATTGCCTGAACCCAGGAGGCGGAGGTTGCGGTGAGCCGAGATCGCGCCATTGCACTCCAGCCTGGGTAACAAGAGCGAAACTTCCATCTCAAAAAAAAAAAAAAAGAACACAGTCAAATGCTGTGTAAAGGTGAAATCAAGCCTGCGTAATGGCGCTCTCCTGTAGTCTGAGCCACCCAAGAGGCTGAGGCAGGAGGATCACTTGAGCCCAGGAGTTCAAGTCCAGCCTGAGCAACATAACAAGACCCACCTCTTAAAAAAAGAAAAAAGGGCCAGGCGCGGTGCCTCATGCCTGTAATCCCAGCACTTTGGAAGGCTGAGGCAGACAGATCATGAGGTCAGGAGATCAAGACCATCCTGGCCATGGTGAAACCCCATCTCTACTAAAATACAAAAAATTAGCCGGGTGTGGTGGTGCTGCCTGTAGTCCCAGTTACTCAGGAGGCTGAGGCAGGGGAATCACTTGAATCCAGGAGATGGAGGTTGCAGTGAGCCGAGATCGTCCCACTGCACTCCAGCCTGGTGAAAGAGCAAGACCCTGTCTCAAAAAAGAAAGAAAAAGAAAAAAATCATAAATATATTACAAACACAAATAAATACAAATAATAGAAATAGGGTTGTTCATATTTTCTCTCTGCCTCTGGGGACCAGCCTGTGAGTACTACTGGGGTACACATACATGCCTGCCTTGGAGACAGCAGGCCTGGAGAATAAGCCACCCCTGGGCGTGGCACAGTGTTCTGTCATCTACGCCCTTTCCTCCTGCTGCCCACAGAGCATGTCAAGGTGCCAGAAAGGCCACAACAACTATATTCAACTTTAAATCCGTGCCCACACTCCCCGCCATCCCTTCCTCTCTCCCCCTTGTCAAATCTTCCATGCTGATGAATTCCAGCCCAAACCCCTCTGCAAAGCCCTCCTCGCCCACCCTGACCCGGACATCTGTACCGACCATTCTGCCTCTGGGTCTCAGCCTGCTTTGTGTCTCCACGAAACCATCCTTGCTTGGCATGCCACATCTCGCTGGGCGCTTAATGCAGATACTGTTACTATTTTTTATTTTTGTAGAGACTGAGTCTCAAAATATTGGTCAGGCTGGTCTCAAACTCCTGGCCTCAAGCAGTTATCCTGCCTCAGCCTCCCAAAGTGCAGGGTTTACAGGCATGAGCTACTGCAACCAATGATCACTTCCATTTTATAGCTGAGGAAACTGAGGCTCAGAGAGATTTAGTAATTCTCCCAAAGTCACACAGTAAATGGCACATGGATTTGTACCCAGGGCTGACTTCAGAGTCTAACTCTAAGCACTAAGCTACATGAAACAAGGTTGGTCTCTTTCATTCCTGTTGATTCTTTCCAGCATCTAGCATAGAAATATATAGAAATATTTCTATATTTATTTCCAGAAATGTATATATATTTATATATAGAAATATTCATATATATTTCTAAAATTAGATATACAGAGAAATATATATTTATACATATTATATATATAATATTAAATAAATTGCTGAATAAATGATTGAATGAATGAAATACCCAGATCAACACCAAGAAGAAGGCCTGTGGTAGAGGGAAAAGCTTCCACTCCATTCCTGATACAGAATGTCTTGCCTCCTGTACCTCAGGAGTCCCGAGCAAGACTTCAAACTTCAGATGTGGCTGAATCTGGACACTCAGATATCATTACCGGGATTCTGTCACCCTAGCTCTTGGTTTGGACATCTCCTGTGCTGGTGACGCCTTCAGGCAGGCTCTGCTAGCAACTCCAGGCTCGTGCCCTGCCAATGTAGCACCTCCAACAGAAAGAGAGAGTGTCTGATGGCTCATCACACCAGTTTAGGTCGCGAGCCTGTACTGGGTCCTATTGCTGCCACCAGGGGGCTGGGATGAGCAGCTTGGTCAGTTCTTGATCACTGAAGCAGGAGGGTGGGTGGCCCCACACAGATGGCATGAGCTGAGTAGGAGGTGAGGACTGGGATGCTATAACAAGGAAATGGGGGAATGAATATGGGAAGACATGAGTGTCAAGTGTCCACTTGGCTTCATCTCTTGCAGGACCTGGTGGACTGGCAAAAGCCCCTCCTGTGGCAGGTGGGCCACTTGGGAGAGAAGTACGATGAGTGGGTTCACCAGCCGGTGACCAGGCCCATCCGCCTCTTCCAGTCAGACTTCGTTGAGGGCCTCTCTAAGACGGTCTGGTAAGCTCTTCCCTGAGCCTGTGGCAGGCTGCCCCTCTCTTCTGAAGGTGCCAATCAGATATGGAAAGGGAAGGGGCAGTTGGGTCCCTCCCCAGAGCCCAGGCCTATACTGTAAAGCTCTCAGGGAGGGAGGAACATGCCATGGGAATAATTCATCCCTGTGCATGGTTTTGTCCACTAGGTGGGTCACAACCCAACATGTAGCTAGAAACTTTTGAATATGAGTAGTTTCTCGCGTCTGATGCACATGGGAACAATTTAGCCTGCAATTAGCTCCTCTGCCAGAAGAGGTCAGCGTCTGTCCAGTTGCATAGAGTCTGTAGCCCTGGGGAAACTTCTTTTCTGCCAATAACTCAACTCAGAGGCAGGAGGCAGATGGGCTTACAGCCCCCCTCCTCTTTTCTCTTCCCCATCCCCCATACCAGTGTCCCTTTGACCCCATATGCTTTCTGCATCTGCTTTGGTGTCATCTTTTTACCTCTCTGGTAGAAAGCTAGACCCTGCCAGGTGTGGTGGCTCACACCTATAATCCCAGTGCTTTGGGGGGCTGAGGTGGGTGGATCACCTGAGGTCAGGAGTTCGAGACCAGCCTGACTAACATGGTGAAACTCCATCTCTACTAAAAATACAAAATTAGCTGGGTGTGGTGGCACATACCTGAAATCCAGCTACTTGGGAGGCTGAGGCAGGAGAATCACTTGAACCCAGGAGCCTGCGTGACCAGAGTGAAACTCCATCTCAAAAAAAAAAAGAAAGCTGGACCCTGTCAAGCCCCTGTGCATGTATCTCTCTTACCCTAATGGCCCTCCTGCAGGTACAGTGTCCCCGTCATCTGGATGCCCCTGGTGCTGTACATCAGCTGGTCCTGCTACCGAACCTTTGCCCAGGGTAACGTCCGACTCTTCGCGTCATTTACAACAGGTAATGCCAGATTCTTTCCTGACTTTCCCCTGAGGATCCTAGAGGGAGGAGACTTCAGTGCTTTCCCTGGCCCGGAGTTTCTGATAGCATAGAACCCCAAACAACATCACAGGCATTTTTTGGTGAAGCCTTTCTGTAGAAATAGTCTTCCAAAGAAGAATTTTGTCAGACTCCCACTATCTCCACAAATGAATACAAAACCCAGCAACACATCAGCAGAAACTAAATGGAACCATTTCATGAGGTGTCAGAGGAATAAAAAAGAGAGAGAGTGCGCTTCTTATTGAGTCTCACACCAGAAAATGCATGATCTGGGACTCTTTGCTAAGAAACTAGATGAAATCACTTCATCAGGTCGCACTGCTGAGAGCTAGACTTGGACTGGCCTATGAACAGAGCACAGAGTAGCAGAGAGCTTGGGAGAGAGACCTGGGAGTGTCCTGGAGTGTGTCCAAGGCAAAGGCTCATGCTGCGGACCCCCAGGCTGGGAGTAACAGCCCACTAACCTCTATGGGACACTGGCCATGTGTGGGGCCACGTGCTCTCCTGGGACTGTCTCATTTGCCCATCCCAGCAACCCCATAGAAGGGTCCTGTTATTATCCCCTTTTAGAACTGAGAAAATGGAGCCTCAGAGATATCAAGTGAGCAGTTTGAGGTCATGTGGCTAGGCTGTGGATACCAGGTTCTAGTGGGGGGACAGAGGATGAAAAGAGGGGCTAGCATGGGACAGTGTCTAAAGAGCCCATGAGACTCGGTCTTTCAGGATGACTGTGGGTTTAGGTACGGCCACTGGGGCAGCTAGCCCCGAAAGCGCCTTGCCTACCTTGGGCCTCCAGGTACATGCCACCTGTCCAGGTAGTCAACCTGTCCTGGCTCTGAGCTTCCTGAGCTGCCCTCACTCTGCGAGGAGCAGGTCTTTTCCCTGCTTTCTGCAAGTCAAGTGCCTGAATGGTTGAGATGACAGGGGCCATGTTCACGGCATCCGGAGCTTCATTCATCTACCTGACCCAGGATGGGTTGGGGGTGAGCAAGCTGCAGGAAGACCCTCAAATCCAGCCCAGAGCTGCTCCTGGTCACCGAGGGTTACTGTGGGCATCCCTGGAGCCATGGTGGCCCTGTTCTGCCCAGCTCAGGCATAGCACAGGGCTTGTTGCTCAGAAGACCTGCTCGCTGAATCGCTCACTGTCCGCCCGGCGCTCCCCTAACAATCACAAACAGTGGCAGGGCCGCCAGGCTGGCAGCCGGAGGGGGAAGGGGACGCTGAAGCTTTGGCCCAGGTCCCTCTGCCGGATTCCTCCAGAGATGCCACTCAGTACCAGCTCCAGCCGGATGGGCAGACAGGGTGATGCTGGGGTGAGGGGGCGGGCAGAGGCTTGACCTATAGGAGAGGACTTTTCTGCACAGCAGGGAGGGTGATTTGAGGACCCTGTCAGCCCTGTGGCCTTGCCATAGAGCTAAAATGTGCCTGTCTTATAAAGATCCAGTATAGATGGTAAGTAAGCCTGTGACCATGATGCCAGCGATGGGGGCATGAGAGATACATCTCCACGTGCCTCCCTCAGCCCCCAGCTTTTCATGCAAGGCACAAGCCACAGGCAGAGAAAATAAGAGCCCACAAAGCGAGGCGAGGGCAGACTCGGCGGGGTCCCGGTGCAGCTGCTGGACAAAGGACACACTGGAATCAATACAGAAGAGTCAGGGTGCCAAGAAGCAGTGGAAGCTGAACGGAGACACCAGTTCAAGGCTGGCACTCCTAGATGCGCACATGAAAATGCTTTCAAAAACTGGGGAGGTGGTGGGGGCCCTGCATGCTCAGGATGGCTCCAGACCAGCTCCTGAGAGCATGTTAGAGTGAGCAGCATCCTGGAGCAGAGGGGGAGGCAGGCCTTCGGTGGGGCGGTGTGTAGGGTCTCAGCAGAGACGAGGACCCAAGTCTGTGCCAGAGAGTGCTCCCGCAAGTCCAGTCCTTTCCCTACCAATAAGAGAGTTAAGGCTGGGCATGATGGCTCACGCCTGTAATCCCAGCAGTTTAGGAGGCCTAGGTGGTCAGATCACCTGAGGTCAGGAGTTCAAGAGCAGCCTGACTAACATGATGAAACCCCATCTCTACTAAAGATACAAAAATTAGCCAGACGTGGTGGCAGGCACCTGTAATCCCAGCTACTCGGGAGGCTGAGGCAGGAGAATCACTTGAACCCAGGAGGCAGAGGTTGCAGTGAGCTGAGATCGTACCATTTAACAAAAGCCAGGGAGAAAGAGGGAGGCTTTGTCTAAAAAAAAAAAAAAAAAGAAAAGAAAAGAAAGAAAGAGAGAGAGCTAAGTGACAAGGGAGGGTGTCTCAGCTCCAGGTAGGGGAGAACCGAGGGGCTGGGAAACTCCTCCCCACCCAGCTGGAGTCCTGAATGGGTGGGGAGCAAAGAGAATGGAGAGAAGTTGGGAAATAGGAGAACTGCTGGGTGGGACAGACACTCAGACCGTGACTCAGAAATTACCGTGGCCCCTTGTTCAACATCCGACTATGATAGTATAGCAGCATATGTAATAACAGTAGTAGTATAAGAAAGTATAGGCCAGACTGTGGCTCATGCCTAATCCCAGCACTTTCGGAGGCCAAGGCGGGTGGACCACGTGAGGTCAGGAGTTTGAGACCAGCCTGGCCAACATGGTGAAACCCGGTCTCTACTAAAAATACAAAAATTAGCTGAGTGTGGTGGTGCGTGCCTGTAATCCCAGCTACTTGGGAGGCTGAGGCAGGAGAACCGCTTCAACCCAGGAGGTGGAGGTTGCAGTGAGCCAAGATCATGCCACTGCACCCCAGCCTGGGTGACAGAGCGAGGTGAAAAAAAAAAAGGAAATGTAGTATTATTAATATTATTATATAATATAACATATATACTCATCATATAATCAGATATTCTGTTACCTCCATCCTAACCACAGCCCTTCAAGATGGGGAAGGTATTTCCCTGAAAAAACTCTCTAGGTGGTGCCGAGCCAGGATTTGAACCCAGGTCTGCAAATCCAATGCCTGTGCTCGCTGCACTTCACCGGAGTGACCTGAAGGACCCCAGAGGTATCAGGGCTTCCCACCAACCAGGGTCTCTCACCAACCAGACCAGCCCAGCTAAGACCCAATGGCCGCTTGCAGTCAAAGCCGGCAAAGCTGTTAGGCAAGTGTCTCGTACCACCTGTGAACACAGCAGGCCCTGCTGATGAGAGATGTCAGACTCGCCTAAAACCTGGCTTGAGAGAAAGGACCTTTGAAAATGGAATCTTGGCTGCATCAGATTTTAGTTCCCAGGTGAACTGTGAAACATGTTTTCATGGCATGGAGATTTGTTTGGAACTGAGTGTCCAAATAGCACTTGACCTGGAATCTGGTCCAAAGAGCTGGGAGGTCACCTCTGCCTTCCTCAACTATCTCCCTTCCTCAGTGGTCACTGGGGCCATCTGTCCTGGGCCCACGGTGGGCTCGGGCCCCTCAGATATATTTCCTTAACTGCAGCTGGAGCTGCCTCTGCCAGGCCTGGTTCTAATCAAATCTCATCCATGCGCAGGCCTGCACAGAGGCTTTATTTTACCTGTCACTCTCCCCGCAAGTCCCTGAGAACCTGCCGTGTGAAGCATTGGAGATATAAAGTGAAAGGCCCCAACGCTGCCCGTGAAAAATTAGTAACCGAGTAGGGGGCAAATGAGGAGACCGCAGGCACAGCATGGTGTGATGGAGTGCCGTGCGGGGGCAAAGGAGGGGCTGTGAACGCAGCTGGTGCCAGTGAAGGGCATCTGCACAGGCTTCCCGGGAGCGGAGTCTCCAAGGATAAGGATGGCAGGGAAGGAATTCCAGGGAAGGACACACCAGCAAAATTATGGAGCTGAGGGAAGCGAAGGTGGCACATGCAAGGAGACCACATGTGGTTTGACTTGGCCCCAGGACCAGGTGATGGAGAGGGCAGGCAGGGATGTGGCTGGCAAGGTCAGGTCTCAGAGGACCCTGAATGTGGTGCAGTGGGGTTAGGACTTTGCCTGAAGGTTGTGGGGCACCGTGGAGGGGTCTGAAGGCCTGTGGAGGTTGTGAGTTAAGCAGAGACTGACAGTGTCGTTGGGGCACAAGGTGATAATGCGACAGGATCAAGAGCAGGGACCCACCGAAGATCTATGTAAATCCTTTTTCTTTTCTTTTCTTTTCTTCACTTTTTTTCTTTTTTTTTTTTTTTTTTTTTTTTTTTTTTTTTTTTTTTTTTTTTTTTTTTTTTTTTTGAGACAGAGTCTTGCTCTGTTGCCCAGGCTGCAGTGCAGTGGCGCAGTCTCAGCTCACTACAACCTTCGCCTCCCCGGTTCAAGCTGTTCTTCTACCTCAGCCTCCCGAGTAGCTGGGACCACAGGCACCCACCACCATGCCCAGCTAATTTTTGTATTTTTTGTAGAGATCGGGTTTCACCATGTTGGCCAGGATGGTCTCAAACTCCTGACCTCGTGATCCACCCGCCTCAGCCTCCCAAAGTGCTGAGATTACAGGCATGAGCCACCGCACATGGCCCTGTGTAAATCTTTCTTATTGCAATGAGAGTCTCATAAAATTCAATATAGTCTTTAGTATGTTCACAGGGTGGTTCAGCCACCACTCTGTCTGGCTCTAAAACATTTTCATCATCCCAAAGAAAACCCTGGACAATCGCTACCCACTTCCCTCCTTCCAGCGCCTAGCAGCCACTGATCTGCCCTCTGTGTCCATACATTCACCTATTGTGGACATTTCATATAAATGAAATCATATGCTTCATGGCCTTTGGTGTCCGCCTTCTTTGACTTTGCCAGGAGATCTTAAGGAGGTGGCGCTGACAGGGCTTGGGGACTGGTTGGATGTGGCAGAGAGAGGTCACTTGAACCTGACTCCTTTGGTAATGAGTGGTGTCGGTAACCCCAGCCCCCAAAGAAGGAAACCCAAGAGGAGGCGGGCAGGAAGAAGGAGGAAGACGGTTGGCCTCATTTGGGAGGTGTTCAAGGCAGGGGCTGTGGACAACCACACGGAGCTGTGCAGTAGGAAGCGGCCACCCAGGGTGGAGCTGGTGTAGAGCATCCGTCATCAGCACATGGGAGAGGAAGAGATTGAGCCGAGAGGCAAAGGGTCCAGGCTTGGACCCTGGGGACAGAGGCAGAGTTTCCAAGATGGAGCCTGAGCAGGGAGATCCAGGGAGAGGAGAAAAGTCAAGTATGGCAGCAGCAGAAGGTGGAGCTGTGGATTTGAATCTCATTGCTCCCAGATATTTTGAGAATTTGAGAAACCAGGGACATGCTACGGAGAAAAAACGCCCATAGATGTGCAATTCCATGTATCAGCAAGTTCACAGACACTCTACGATCCTACTTAAGACCCTCAAATATTCATAAGCCTCGGGATAAGAGCCTAGACGGCTACAGATTAAAGAAGACGGTGGCGCTAATGGCATATGCCACAGCCAGGTCAGACGTGGACTAAAAAATTGCTTAGATTTGGCAAGAAAGACATCATGAATAGCCTTTGAAGTTCTGATGGTTTAAGGAAGAAGACAGACTTTTTTTTTTTTTGAGACAGAATCTCACTCTGTCACCCAGGCTGGAGTACAATCTCAGCTCACTACAATCTCTGCCTCCTGGGTTCAAGTGACTCTCCTGCCTCAGCCTCCTGAGTAGCTGGGATTACAGGCGCATACCACCGCCCAGCTAGTTTTTGTATTTTTAGCAGAGATGGAATTTCACCATGTTATTCAGGCTGGTCTTGAACTCCTGACCTTGTGATCTGCCCACCTTGGCCTCCCAAAGTGCTGGGATTACAGGCATGAGCCACCACACCCGGCCAGGAGACAGATTTTAAGAACTTGACAAGCCAATGGAAAGTGACAAAGTAGAGCCATGAGTCCAGCCTCACTTTTTTTTCTTGTTTTCTTTTTAGCTTTTTGAGACAGGAGGGTCTTGCTCTGTCATCCAGGCTGGAGTGCAGTGGTGCAATCACAGCTCACTGCAGGCTTCAACTACTGGGCTCAAGTGATCCTCCTGCCCCAGCCTCCTGAGTAGCTGGGACTACAGGCATGGGCCACCATGCCCTGCTAATTTTTTAACTTTTTGATGAGGTGGGAACTCACTGTGTTGCCCAGGCTGGCCTCCAACTCCTGGGCTCAAGCGATCCTCCCACTTCAGCCTCCCAAAGTGCTGGGATTACAGGTGTAAGCCACCACATTCAGCCTAGCCCAGCTTTTTAGCAATCTTCATGATGAAGAAGCTGAGTCCATGATGGGAAAGTCTTGCATACCTCAGAAAGATGAACAAAAGAGCCAGAAGAGGAGAGACTGAAGGAGGCCACAGGAATCCCTTGGGAGGGAGGGTGGGAGGAGGCAGCTGAGGGTTTGCACTGCCAAGCAGGGGGAGCCTGGCAAGTCATGGACTTTGTCCACATCCTCACTCATGCAGTCAATGCCAGGGCTTCCCTTGTAAGGCTGTGGTGAGATGAAATAGGAAGTCATCCATGGAAAGCCCTTGGGCGGCACATGGCACACAGGACTCAGTCAAGACACATGTGCTGTTACTGTTTCTCTGACCATCAGCACCCGCGTGCTGGTGCACAGCTCTTCCCTGAGAAGCAAGGAGGATGCCCCAGGGTACTGGCAGGATCTGTTGTCCTTGGAAGTTGGGGTGGGTATGTGGAGGGGATAGCTCCCCCCCAACCCCAGGGCCTCTCTTCTCTGTGAAGTAGGAGGCTGGGTGGAAGGAGAGGAGGTGAAGGGGAGCAGAGAAGGTCCAAGGGCAGCGAGGAGGGAGCTGAACCTGAAGATGCTCAGGGATCACCCATCGGGCTGTGTCTAGGGTCTTGTAAAGGTCAAAGGTGCTAGACCCACTGTGTGACTCTCCATGCTCAGCAGCTTGGGGATGGGGTGTAGAGGCAGATTCCCATGATGACCCAGGGGGAGGGTTCGTGGGTGCAGGTGAGGGAGATGGAATACGGGTTAAAAGGGAATGGCTAGGCCGGGCGCAGGGGCTCATGCCTGCAATCCCGGCACTTTGGGAGGCCAGCCTCACTTGAGGTCAGGAGTTCAAGACCAGCCTGGGCATCATGGTGAAACCCCATCTCTACTAAAAATATAAAAATTAGCCAGGCGTGGTGGTGGGCACCTGTAGTCCCAGCCACTCAGGAGGCTGAGGCAAGAGAATCGTTTGAACCCAGGAGGTGGAGGTTGCAGTGAGCCGAGATCACGCGCCATGCACTCCAGCCTAGGCAACAAAGCGAGATTGTCCAAAAAAAAAAAAAAAAAAATGGATGAGGATGAATATGGAGAAAACAGGAGCGAGAGCTGAAATCTCCATGAGGTCAGAGAATGAATGAGGCGGAGGGAAGAACTGAAAGCCGCAAGGGTTACAGGCCATCTCCGGAGGGTTGGGCAGTGGGAAGCTTGTGCTTGCAGACGGCGCCCTCTCCCGTCTTCCCTCCCCACCCAGGCCGATCGTCTTCAGTGTTTTCACATATTCCTCCTGAGCTGTGACTTCAGGTCTCATCTGTTGAGATCTCAGTGCTTGTTTTCTCTTGTTCTTCCTGCCCCACAGTCCCTGGTGGTTCACTCTTTCCATCATTAACACCCTGGAGGCCGGGTGCCGTGGCTCCCATCTGTAATCGCACTTTGGGAGGCCAAGGCGAGAGAATTGCTTGAGTCCAGGAGTTTGAGTCCAGCCTGGGCAACATAGCAAGATCTCGTCTCTACAAAAAAAAAAAAATTAAAAATTAGCTGGGTGTGGTGGCTTGCGCCCGTGGTCCCAGCTACTTGAGAGGCTGAGGTTAAAGGATCACTTGAGCCCAGGACAGGGAGGCTGCAGTGAGCTGTGATCACACCTCTGCACTCCAGCACTCCAATCTTTCAACCTGGGCGACAGAGAGATACCTTGTCTCAAAATAATAACAATGCCCTGGCTCAGGAGTGTCACCGTCTCTTCTCCAGTGTCCTTGGGGCAAGGTCACCCTTGCAGGTAAAGGTCCAGCCCTGGCCATAGCCACTCCTCCCACAGCCTCTGTAAGGAGGCCTCCAGCCAATGGCCCATCACTCCCGTAAATGACCCCCAAGACCTAGTCCAGAGCCCCACAGCCTCCTTCCCATTTTGACCCACGGGCCCCAGCAGTGTGGCCTGGCCCCGTAGCTATGGGACAGAGGGCAGCATCTGCCAAGCCGATCAGGTCAGCGAGGCATGGACGCCTGGAGCTACCCGGCTGCTGTGCACCAGTCCTCACCTCACTCTCCCTGCCACCCTGCAGAGCATGCAGTGGTGGTGCCCAAGTCCATGTTCCCCGGGCTCTTCATGCTGGGGATCTTCCTCTGGAGCCTCATGGAGTACTTCATCCACCGCTTCCTGTTCCACATGAAGCCCCCCAGCGACAGCTATTACCTCATCATGCTGCACTTCGTCATGCATGGCCAGCACCACAAGGTGAGCGGGGCGGGGTCCCAGCCTGGACCCAGCAAGTGCAGGCCAAACCAGCTGGTCCGGCAGCCAGAACCAGCTTCAGGCACTACAGAGCCTCCTGGGAGTCTGGCTGTGGGTTGGGACTGACAAAACATTTGACATGAATCACAGGAGCAGCTGGGTCAGGCATCCGAACCTAAGCCAGGCAGGCACAGAGTGGATGTGCAGCGTCAGGCTGACATCCAGCCCTCTGCACCCCTGTTTATCTATCACTTTTAATCCTCGAAACAACTCATTCATTCATTCAGCAAATGCCCAGTGAGTTCCCTCCGTGTGTGAAACACTGTTCTAGACATCATTGAACAAAACAAAAAGCCTTGCCCTCCTGGAGCTTCTCCTGAAAATGGTGCCAGGATTCTCCCCGTTCAACAGAGCAGGAGACTGAGGCCTTGGGGAGCTAAGGAGCTTGCCCCATGTCACACTTGATGCAGCCAGGACGTCCTGCCCCATTCTGGGGATTCCAGAGTCTGCGCTCTCAATCACCCTTTCCCCTGAGGCCCTTCAAGGACTCCACGACAGTCCCAGAAACTGGCCCTAGAAGATAGGTCTGCTCAAAGGAAGCTGCCTCTCCTATGCCCCCCATGGCCTCTCTGACCCTGCACTGTGCTGTTCCCCAGCCAGTCTCCACACTCTGTTCTCTGCTGGCTGTAAATCAGAGAAAATGTGGCAGATATGATGCTTTCAGGACACCAGTTTAGACCCTTATGCTGCTCATGCTGAACGTGGGTTTCACATCAGTTTCCCAGCAGCAACTTAATCTAGTTCATCTCAATGAGCCAATTCCAGTTTAATCGGCCACCTAGGAGAGTTCTCAGGTTGGCTGGGTGTCACCCTCCCAGCTCTCCCCAGAGTTGATCTGCGTCCTTGGGGGCTTTCCTAGGGGCCAGTATCAGGGTGGGTGTCTAGTCCTGGGCCAACCCGTCCCTCAGGTATGCTCTCAGAGGCAGCACAGCCCAGGCCTGGTCTGTGTCCTCCAGCCTCACCTGGCCTCTGCTCTCCAGACTTGCTGCATCCGCTGCTGCATTCCTTCCCCACTTGTGAAGCCTTTTCAGATCCTCTGCCCCGTCAGCCATCTTTCCTATCCGCAAGGAACACAAGAACCTTCGGGGGACCTGATCAGGCTGTTCTGGGGCCCCAGGGGCTATCCCAGGCTCCCTCTTCTGGGACATTTCCACCCTGGTCTGTCCAGTCCCCTGCTGCCATACCACGAGGACCCGAGGAGGAGCTTGTGTGGCCTGTAGCCACATAGGCTCCAATCAGGAACATGTTCTCAGATCTCCAAACCTATCCATCCCAGGATCCTGATCCAGCTGTGACCTGGAGCTGGCCCACACCAGCTTGCAAGAGCACCTGGCCCATCCTTTCCTGTTTCTGCCCCAGTGACGCCACCTCAGCCCTTCAAAGCGCCAGGGCAGGAGTTTTTACACCGAAGGAATTAGCAAACCTACCAACCAGGGCTCTCCCTCCCTTCCTCTACTTCTCCCTCCGTCCTTCTCTCCCTCCTTCCCTGGCTCCCTCCCTTCCTCCTTTTTCTGAGAGCTGGTTTTCCAGCATGCCACTGATCCTATTGATCCTGGTCTGAAGGGAGGGAGGCCCACAGCAGCATCTCACTGTGTCACTGTCACCTGCTTTCTCGATCTCTCCTTCTCCAGCCCAGAAAGGCTGCAGGATTCCGTTTTCAGAATCCTCACCAAGCCGTAGCTAAGATCTCACCTCCATGCCAGGCCCTCAGCTTCTGAAGCTCAAGGGCCTCGGTGAAGCAGTGTTCTCTGGTTCACTGTGATGACACCCCCTTGGATCAAAGAAGGCCTCCTGTTTGGACATGGGGGTGGGGAGGACAGCTCTAGTGACACTTCAGGGTCATCCCACCGCAGAGGCTGCATTAGCCTCGGCCACCCGGTGCCTTGCTCTCCCAGACATCAGGCCACAGTCTAGGTGCCTTGTCTTCAGAATGCCCATCTAGCCAGAGGCATGGTATTTAGGGATGGGACACCTGTCTGACACCTGATGAATTCCAGAGTCTCAGTAGCCTCTAGAGCATGAGATGGGCTCTGAGCCACCAGCACGCCCTGCCTGTCTGCCTCACACCATCTCCCTCCTCTGTTCCTCGGCAATCTGCCAGGTCCCTTCCTGGCTCGCAAATGGGGAGTAAGACAGTCTTTCCAGAGCTTCCAGACATGCTGGCCCGCCCTCTCCAAAGCCACCAAAGGTGCCAAGCCTACCCAGTGGAATGTCTGGGCCGCTCCGCCCCTGTCCTCTGCAGGGAGCAGCCCAGGCTTGGCCAGCTGTGGCTACAGACAGGTCCTGGGGTCCCTGGCTGCCTCCTGATGCCCGAGCCTCTCCATCCACAGGCACCCTTCGATGGCTCCCGCCTGGTCTTCCCTCCCGTGCCAGCCTCCCTGGGGATCGGTGTCTTCTACGTGTGCCTGCACCTCATCCTGCCCGAGGCGGTGGGGGGCACTTTGTTTGCAGGGGGCCTCCTGGGCTACGTCCTCTACGACATGACCCATTATTACCTGCACTTTGGCTCGCCGCCCAAGGGCTCCTACCTGTACAGCCTGAAGGCCCACCACGTCAAGCACCACTTTGCACATCAGATGTCAGGTGAGGATGGGCCTGGGCCTCCCAGCCCCCTTTGTATGTTCATTGATTTATTTGCCAACTGCCATCGAGCTCCTGTGAACAGCCAGGCACTGTTGCGTGTCCTGGGCATATACAGAGGACTCCTTCTACCCTCCCCCCCAGCAGACATCCATAAATGGCAAAGATTTGAAACTGTGATAAATGCCATGAAGAAAATAAAGCAGCTGGGCACAGTGGCTCACGCCTATAATCCCAGCACTTTGGGGGGCCAAGGTGGGTGGATCACCTGAGGTCAGGAGTTCAAGACCAGCCTGACCAACATGGAGAAACCCCATCTCTACTTAAAA